TTCATAGATGCACATGCAATACAGTGGTGCCTCGCTTAACGGCGATAATCTGTTCCAGGAAGATTGCCGTTAAGCGAAAACATCGTAAAGCGAAAATAAAAAGCCCATTGAAACATATTGAAAACCTTTCAATGCATTCCAATGGGCTTAAAACTCACCATCCAGCGAAGATCCTCCATATGGCGACCATTTTCGCTGCCTGTATAGCGAGGAATCCGTCCCTAAACACAGTGGGGACTCATTTTATTTACCCAGTGGCCATTTTGAAACCACTGATCAGCCGTTGAAAAATCATTGTTTTGCGAAGAATCGGTTCCCAAAGCAGGGAACAGATCATTGCAAAGCGAAATTCTCCCATTTAGACCATCATTTTGCGATCGCAATTGAGATTGCAAAAAGATTGTCGTAAAGGGGATTCGTCATAATGAGGGGCAATCGTAAAGCGAGGCACCACTGTATATATAACACATATATGTCAATATTTCCATCAAAATAAAGTGGCAACTTTATTTGCATGTAATAGCATGCAACATTGTTTCTTGTAGAATGGCTTCCTCATTTAAATGAATACAATTTAAATGTCTTATTATTTCCCCTTCCAATGTAATGTATTCCTTACTGCTTGGGTAAGAACAATTCAGAAACAAAATGCTGTAACGTTCCTTAATGGATATGAAGTGCTGTAAATCCCTTTTATCAGATGGGAAGGAATGCCAGTAAAAGAGGAGAGCGATTGGTGCTTTTTGAGTGGCTTTTAAATGGATAGGGGTAAGAATTGATTGGGAAACCTGTCAACGGCATTACTTTGGGCACATTAACAGTACGTGCAGCTAAATCTGGATTGCTCACAAGCTGCCTTTGTACACCACAGAAGGGTGAACATCATGCAGTAATAGCACATTAAAAGCTAGTCTGCAAGACAGCTTCAGGCACAGCTGTCAGAAGTTGCAGACCTCAGACTCTCAAATGTAAGGGCCTGAATCTGCTAAATCAAAAACTTGCTTGTACATGTTTGTGTGCAAAACTTTTCTTGATGCTTAGCTGTATGGATGTTTTAATTTAACACATATCCTAGCGGTATTTTCCTCTGCCATCTGCAGAGAGCCATTTTAAGTGATCCACTATATTGCATCATTCCTTCTCTTGTCTGTTTTCAGGGGTAATTGCCTCTACCCACTTAGCTAAAGCTGCACCAAACATAGGCAAAAGGGAGGAATCAACAGGGCCAGGGAAAACCTGAGGATAACAAGAAAAAAAAAAGGAGAGAAAGATGGGGGAAAGAAAAAAATAAAAGGAAAGGAAAGGAATAAGGAGAAAATGTAAGAGGGAATCTCTTTTTTTCTTAAAACAGCTCCTAGTGTGCCTCGAGACCACAGAATGTTTACTGATGGATGGGAACACAGGAATAGAAAATCAAGGGGGGGGGAGGAATGAAATGCAGCGTTTATTCTGTCATAAGGAAGAGCAGGAAGAGGACTGAGAATTCGCTTAGTGCTTTTGAGCATTCCGAGTATTTGATGTGCATTAAACAAGTTGTAATCCTAAAAGCAATTGTGTAAGGTAAGTCAGGGCATGGTCACACTATTGAAATGAATTGGGAGCTGGTTCGGGGTATCTGAAGTTGGTTTGAAGTCACACGTTTTTTTGGGGTCCGTGTGTGTGTCCTCTTGAGACAACTTTTATCCTGGTTGTAACTGTGTGAGTTATCGGTAGAAGGGAGTATAGGGGACTTTGAATTGTTGCATTTATCAAGTGCGAGTTCTCTCTGCAACCTCTGAAGATGCTGTCCTCTGAAGATGCCGGTCACAGAGACTGGTGAAACATCAGGAAAAACAACCTTCAGAACATGGCCAAAGAGCCCGAAAAACCCAGAACAACCATTAGATCCCGGCCGTGAAAGCCTTCGCGAATATAGTGATCCAATACTTGACAAACCCCCCAGACACAAGAATTTGCACATGCCAAAACGATTTGTAATAAATCACACCCACAGTCACGTTAAAATAAACAACCTCTTTGTGGCTAAAATAATTCACTTTCTGACAAAAAAAAAATGTGTGCTTAGTAGTGCGACATGTAAATGGGCATTTTAAAATCAATTTCAAGTGTGTTAAACCCGATGCAAACTCAGGAGTATTTTGATATGTAACCGTATCCTCAGTATTTTTTATGTGACATATAAGTAGCACCACATTATATATGATTAAAATGTCCATAACCAAACTTCACTGGAAAAAGCTGACAGTGGGTGGAGAAGACTAGGAGCGGTATTTTAAGAAGAAAAAAAACAGGTTCTATAGTTGACTGAAAACTCACTGACTGTACTGGAAAATGGAACAGATTTGCTACAAGATAGGGTTAGGAATGCCAGAAGAAAGAAAAATAGCCACAGTGAAAGCTACATGGGAGGGATGGGGACTCACGAGCCACAACTTGTGGTTGAGTCTGACTCAAGTCGCACAAGCAACTCGACTCAATTTATTTTATTTTTTTTTAAAAAGACTCTAATTCAAGTTGTGAATCGGACTCATTAAGTTTAAGTTGCATTTTCTAATGTGCATGATTTTGCAAACCCAGTAAAATAATAGGAACTTGAAAATGTGAGTCTGAATCTTTTTTTAAAAAAAAAAAAGGAGGGGAGGGAGGGAAGCCTCTGCTCACCTTGGAGGAGGCAGCTGTCATCCTCCCGGGTGAGCCCAAGGGGTGAGTGGAGGCCTTTACGTCAGGCTTTCTTCCCCCTCCACTGGTGGCTCCTTTTCAAGATGCCTTCCTCCTCTTGACTGCTCCTCCTCCTCGGGGCTCTTGTGGTATGGAGGAGGAGGAAGAAGAAGAAGAGAAGGCAGCCCTTGGTGCAGGAAGGAGGGGGTGCCTCGTGGGGAGGCAGGAGTCGCAGTGGGGGGTTGGTGGGAGTCATGGCAGTGGAGTCAGGGCAGCGGCAGGGGGGATCGCTGCTGTCTGGCCAGCGCATACGATGCGTCCTCTCATGCCTTCTCCTCCTCAAGGGCGGTGGTGGCCATCTTCAGAGGCAGTAGGTCTGGCTTCCCTTCCAGGAGGCAAAGCTGATAGCCGAGCATGCACAGAAGCAGGGGCCGGCTCGGGAAGGGAAGTCAGCCCGCTGTCTCTGCGCATGCACACGCCTTTCTAATCTTAGGTGGCCATTTTCCAGAGGCCCTGGGCATAGGAGGAGAGGCCAGTGACTACTACAGAGGCAGTCTGTGTAGGGAGCGCCAAAACTAGGAGAGGGTGATGGGGGCTCTGGCCCACAGTGCCAGAACTTAGGGGATGCAAAAAAAATTGTTGGAAGGGTTCAAACTGCTGGTAGAGCATGAAGCCACCCACCCTCCTCTGCAGCAGCACTCACATGGCTTGGGATGGTTTCTCCCAGGGCAGAAGGAAACACAAACCAAGCAGGCTTGGTGTGATATAACCACAGCTGTCATTTGGTCAGTTCCTGGTGTTGGTCCCCACGTCTCTGCCCTCTTCTGTGTGTCGACCTTAACCAAGAGGGTAGCAGCCCCTCAGGTGCCAACATTGCCCCTTCAGGCTCTGCTTTTTTCAGCGGTGCCCTCGGCCTCTGGAATGCCTTCCCCCAGATAGGCTCACACGCCAGCTAGCTTGCGATCTTCCTTTGTGCCAGATGAAGTCTCAGGCTTGTCTGTATTTCTGTTTAAAACTCTTTTGTGCTTTCAGAACCTTGCACAGTGGGAGGGGGGGCTGTCTTGCGATCTTCCTTTGTGCCAGATGAAGTCCCAGACTTGTCTGTATTTCTGTTTAAAACACCTTTGTGCTTTCAGAACCCTGCACAGTGGGAGGGGGGGGCCTGTCCTCTCTCTCTCTCTCTGTCTCTTGTTTACTCAGCTTTATTCTGTGGTAATTTTAAATCCCTTTTAGATTGTACATGGCTTCATTATAGTATGTGCTTTGTGGTCTTAACTTTTTCTTTATGTACTCCTCAGATAGTTTTCATTACTAGGTGGCAGAAGTGCAGTAAAGAAACAAATGAATGTCAGGAGGCCTGAGAGGCAGTGGCTTGCCTAAACCGACCTGTCACTGAATTTGAACTGGGACTGATTCAGCCTCTTCATACACTGTTCTATGCCAATTTCCCTTACAGTTGCCCACCTAAGTAAAATGTGGGTGTCTTCTGAGGGAAAAACTAAACATGACGTCCTAAATCCAGCTAAGTAAATAAAATAAATAAATAATAAATAAATGAACTGGGACTGATTCAGCCTCTTCAAACGCTGTTCTATGCCAATTTCCCTTACCGTTGCCCACCTAAGTAAAATGTGAGTGTCTTGTGAGGGAAAAACTAAACATGATGTCCTAAATCCAGCTAGAGCAGACCTGCTGAATCAATGGAATTTGCATAAATGTTGACCTATCACTGAGAAATTGGGTCAGTGGGTCTCCTCTAGTTTGGACTAGTGATTAGATCTATGCCAGTGGAATTTACTTCAAATACAGATATTTGCATAAGGTTGCATTGTAAGAATTCAACATGAATATGTAGGAATTTCCCCTGCAAAAAATTAGGTAGAAATGCACTATTTAGCATTATGAAAGCGGATGTCCTCCCACCTGTTAATCCTTCATACTGATCATGTTGACATGCACACCTTTTCTGTGGAAGGGTAATGCTGGGGGCCAGAGTGAGTAAGAAAATTGTTTTTCCTTTTCATAGTGCCCTCTGCCAGGCATCCTTTCCTCTCTCCTTCCCCTCCCCCCCTCTGTGTCTTGTGAGGGGAAACATGCCTCTAGGATGAGAAATGATTTCCCTCCAATGTTTGGAACCAAAAGGCAGGGTAAGCACAAGAAGAGGATGTAACATGATACTTCCTTTAAAAAAAACGACAACACAGATCATAGATCCAAATTTAGCCTTAAAGCTGTGACTATTTCAATGTGTTTTACTTCTTGTATAATTCTTTGATAACGTAGTTCCTCACTGACAGAACTGGCCTGCCACTTAGAGACAGTCACCAACTGAAATGACTTACCTGGAGGTGAATCGGTCATGATTACTAAGGATGCTGGTGTGGGCCTTCTTTTCCTGATCTGTGGAAAATAGAGGCATAAGACGATTGATTAAAGAACCAACACGAGTCCTAGAGATGGGGACAAATTAAAAAATGGTGTTTTGTTTTGATCCGTTATTCATCAAGGTTAATGGATCAATGAATACAAATATACGAATATTCTTCGATGAATCGATCTACTGATTCATCTGCACTTTAAATGGCTATAACACTGGCCCCCAACCACCTAGCGATACCTAATTTGCAGGGAAGCTTCCTCAGATGCTTTTCTAGAATTCCTGAAAGTTTAGTGAACATTGGATCATGGACCCTGAGTTATTTAGTGACAAAAAGGACCCCCCAAGGAAAGCAATCCCCAGGTTCCTAGAGACTCCAGAATCATAATGGAACTTCCTATGTCTTCCCTCAACACGCCTGCCAACTTTGGTGAAGATTGGGTATTGGACATCCAAGTTATTCACCCACAAATTGGGTTCCCCCAGGAGAGTTTACCACACAGCACAGAAGCCCATTTTGCCTACCAGCCACCGATCAGCTGATCAGAAATGGATAGGCAGCCCCCCATACAGCCAGCCACCCCAACAGCCTATCCCCATACCCCCTTCCTTTCCCTACCTTAGCCCCCACGCCCACTCCCACCAACACCCCATTACCTTAATAGCTGCTGCCAGGTCTCCATCAGGCCTTCGCAGCCATGGCATGTAAAAAGAGAGACTGGCTGCCCTTGGCAAAGATGGCAGCTGTGGCTTCATTTAGGGTAGGAAAGCTGCAGCTGCCATCTTTGCAAAGGGCAGCCTGGATTCCCTTAAGGCAGGCTAAGGGAAGCCCCCCATGTCCCCACCCCATGTGGAAGTCACACAAATCTTGCCATGTTCAACATGAAAGTCTACATAGGTGCTATAAGCACGTTCAGGTGAAATGTGCTTACAGCTGGTGGTGACGTTTTTTAATTACAGAAAGAAAGAGCAATTTATGCGAGAAATTAAACAAAAACAAGACCAGCTGGTCTACAGAGGCACTAAGCTGCAGATTTTCAAAGATTTCAGCAGTGACTCTTTAAATTGGAGAAAATCTATGAAGTCTGTTACAGCAGTATTGATCAAAAATAATATCAAATACCAATGGGGTCATCCTGTTTTTGTTTTTTGTTTTTTTAATTTGGAAAGTTCATATTCCAAATTTAAAATCTACTCATGTGAAGAAGGTAAAGACCTGTTGAAGGCATGGAAACTCTGGCAGGAGGAAGATGGAGGTCAGGAGTTAACTCCGACTTCAAGCAAAAAAACAGAAGGTTGAAGCAAAAAGGGCTAGATTCCTTGAGGGCTAGAAGACGGACCACCTGTTATCTCTCCCCCCTTCTAAATCTTCTAAAAAATTTTACTTTTACTTTTCTTCTCTCTTTTCTTCATTCATTTATATTGATTTTTTCTCTTTCTTTCTTTCTTTCTTTCTTTCTTTCTTTCTTTCTTTCTTTCTTTCTTTCTTTCTTTCTTTCTTTCTTTCTTTCTAGTTTTTAGTATTAACTATACTAATTATATTAATAATAGATAGCAAAAGTAATAATAATACTAAAATTACTACTAATTCTGGATTTTAATTGTTTGTTTACTTATAATTACAGGGGAGGGGTGGAGAAGGGGGCTTCAGTGTTATCAACTATTACGAAGAAATACAAAAATTTGATAAAAACAGCAAAGGCGACGTTCTGGTTGCAGTTCCGCCGGAGAATGGTGGTGTGTTCCCCTCCACATTGTGCCCTCGGTAGTAGTTATAGCAGGGGGATATGGTGGGGTGGGAAAAAAATATAAATTTTCAGTGGGTTATTAGGTATTAGGTAAAGCATTATATGTTTGGGTTATGTTGAGTTTAATTTTTAGTGTATTTTTGTTTGTTTGATGGGGGGATGGGTTGCACACAGAGCCTGTTAGGAGGAGAGACTTTGAACTGAAATGGGCAAGAGAATAAGACTAGCGACTTTAAACATGAAAGGCCTGAGATCAATAGTGAAGAGAAGAATATATGGAGCATTATTAAAGAAAAATAAGGTGGACATTGCCTTTTTGCAAGAGACTCATCAGTCAGAAGATGGAGCCAACTAATTTAAGATTACTAATAGAGACTTATGAAAAAAACTTTGGAACGTCTAAATTTAGAGGTGTGGCAATCATAATTTTTAAAAATTGGGAATTTACAGTGAAACAGGTAGTAAAAGATTGTAAGGGTAGATTTATAATACCCTCGAAATACAATGTAAAATTGGTTTGGAAGAATATACTGTAATTTTCCATGTATAAGACTATACTTTTGTCTAAAATCTTTAGACGAAAAATTGAGCGTCATTTTATCCACTTGTTTTTCTTCTCTCCTCAGCTTAAACAAGTGGAGGGGAAAGCAGGGATCAAAGTGATCCTGCAGTACTTTGATCCCTTTCCCCCTATACTTGCTAAGCCCCATTTAGATTTCTTAATTTTGGATTAGAAAAGTGGGATGCGTCTTATACATGGGGATGTCATATACACAGAAAAATACAGTACTTTGGTTAATGTTTATGCGCCTAATAATAAACAAGGAGATTTTTAGAACACTGTTATTAAAGAAATCGAAAAGGTAAAGAAGAGTTATGTTATTATAGCAGGGGATTTCAATATAGTTATGGATAAGATAAAGGATAAAACCTTTTATGATCAGAATGATATTCTCTAAAGAAACATGATACTGAGCAAGAAGGTAAAAAATAACCACTTGAAGGATATTTGGAGAGTAATGAAAGGTGATGAAAGAAGATATACTTATTTTTCAGCAGTATATAATAGTTATTCCAGAATAGATTTCATATTCACATTTTAAGATTTAATTCCTAAAATAGTTAATACTGAGATTAAATCTATAAAAATAACAGATCATGCTCTGATGTCAATGGAGATTGAGATTTCAAAAGATTATACTCTAAAAATGGAGAATGAATATTAACATTTTCCAGTACCCAGAGGAAATAGAAAAGATAAAGAAAGAATGGTTAGAATTATGGACAATAATTGAAGCAGGAGGTATGAAATTAGACCTGTTGTGGGACACGATGAAAGTAATTTCAAGAGGAATAAGAATAAGGAAATCCTGTAAACTGAAAAAAAAATTAAGGAGATAAACGTGAAAAAACTGGAAGAAGAATTAAGACATTTGGAAAGCAAGGTTTTTAAAGAAAGAGATAGAAGCATATTGGCAGAAATTCAGTCAAAGAGAAAGGAACTAGAAAACGTAGAGAGAGAGAAAGTTCAGAGGGATTAGATGTATATACGTAAAGATAATTTTTTAAAAAAATTAGCAATAAAAATTCAAAATTATTAGCTAGAATGTGCAAAAATAGAAGATTAAAAACATGATTGCAGTAATTAAAGATAGAACAGATAAGAGGTGTAATATAATGAAAGATATATTGAAGATTTTTCAAGAATTTTATCAGAAATTATATAAAGGAAACAATGTACTGAAAGAGGATATAGAAAAGTATATAAATGAGAATTTAAAAACTAAATTATTGGAATGTGATAAAAGAATATTAGAAGAAGAGATTAAAGAAGAAGAAATTGCCGAAATCATTAATAAACTGAGAAATGGCAAAACACCAGGCCCCGATGGATTGGGTCCAGAATATTATAAACATCTTAGTTCCATTTTGATACCTAAGCTAAAAATGTTTTTTAATAAAATATTGAAAGGAGAGACAATGTCACCTTCTTGGAAACATTCATTAACTATTCTTATTCTAAAACCCAAAAAGGATCTAACAGATCCGGGATCTTATAGGCCTATATCTCTAATAAATCAAGATGCTAAAATTTTTACTGCTTTACTAGCAGATAGATTAAATAGATTTATAGCAAATTACGTATATTAAAGAGGACTGATGTGGCTTTATAAAGGGAAGACAAATGGACAATTTAATTTTGCGAGCTTTGAACATTATATATGAGGTAGAAAAGAAAAAAACAAAGGCAACTGTTTTATCACTACACATATTTAAGTCCTTTGATTGTGTGGAATGACCAACATTAAAGCTGCTTATAAAGGGTTGGGGACTTGGTAGAAGATTTATAGGAGTAATATATCAATTATATTCAGATAATACTTCAGAATTAATAGTTAATTATGGTTTAACAGAGTGGATTTTTCTAGGCCAAGGTACAAGACAAGGCTGTCCACCTTCACCAATACAGTACTGTTTTGTATGATATAGAACTGTTAGCTAATCCAATAAGAAATGATGAATTAATTAAAGGATTAGGTAAAGATGATACAAGTAAGATTAATTTATTTGCTGATGATTCATTATTAACCATTAAAAACCCATTAGAAAGTATGGAGAAAATTAAAAATCATTTAGAAAAAAATTGGAGAAATAACAGGATTAACTATTAACTGGCAAAAAACACAAATAATG